CCATTTCTGGGTTTTCTATTCTGTTCCATTGATCTATGTGTCTGTGTTGTGCCAGTACTTATACTGTCTTGATCACTACAGCTTTGTAATGTAGCTTGATGTCTGGAATAGTTATAGTTCCAGCTTTTCTTTTCTTTTTCAGGATTGCTTTGCTATTTGGAGTCTTTTATTGTTCGATACAAATTTTAAGATTCTTCGTTCCAGCTCTGTGAAGAATGCTTGTGGTATTTGATAGGAATTGCATCCAATGTGTAGATTGCTTTGGGTAGGATAGACATTTTAACAATATTTGTTCTTCCAATCCATGAGAATGGAATGTTTTTCCATTTATTTGTGTCCTCTTCAATTTCTTTCATAAGGGTTCTTTTTAAAAAATGTTTATTTTTATTTTTGAGAGGGAGAGAGAGAGAGCGAGCAGGACAGGGGCAAAGAGAAGGGTACAGAGGATCTGAAGTGAGCTCTGTGCTGACAGCAGTTAGCCCAATGTGGGGCTCAAACTCATGAACTGTGAGATCATGACCTAAAGCCAAGATCAGATGCTCAACCAACTGAGGCATCCAGGTACCGCCATAAATGTTTTATAGTTTTCAGGGTACAGATTTTTAACTTCTTTGGTTAGGTTTATTCCTAGATATTTTATAGGCTTTGGTGCAGTTTTAAATGGGATTGATTCCTTGATTTCTTTTTCTTTTGTTTCATTATTGGCATACAGAAATGCAATAGATGTCTGTACTTTGATTTTGTATCCTGTGACTATGCTGAATTTGGTACCAGTTTTAGCAGTTTTTTTGATGGAGTCTTTTGGGTTTTCTACATCGAGTATTATGTCATCTGTGAATAGTGAAAGTTTGACTTCTTCTGGTCCAGTGTGTAATTCAAAGGCATTGTTTCATTGTTGATTTGCCATTTAAATGATTTATTTATTGCTGTAAGTGGCATATTAAAGTCCTCTATTACTACTGTATTATTGTCAATTATTTTCTGCATGTTTTTTATTAATTATTTTATATATTTGAGTGCTCTCAAGTTGGGGATAAATATTTACAATTGTTAGATCTTGTTGGATAGATCCCTTTATTATGATATAGTGTGTTTATCTTTTGTTACTGTCATGGCTTAAAATCTAGTTTTTCTCACATTAAGTGTGGCTACTCTGGCTTTCTTTTGATGTCCACTAGCATACTAAATGGCTCTCCATCCCCTCACTTTCAATCTGCAGATGTTTTTATATCTAAAATGAGTCTCTTGTAGGCAGCGTCTATATGGATCTTGTTTTTCTAATCCATTCTGGTACCCTATGTCTTTTGATAGGAGCATTTAGTTCATTTACTTTCAAATTATTGATAGACATGAATTTAGTGCCGTTGTATTACCTGTAAAGTTGGTTTCTTTCTAGTCTGTTGCTTTTGGTGTTTCTTTCCTACTCAAGGATTCCCCTTTAATATTTCTTGCAGGGCTGGTTTAGTGGTCATGAACTCTTTTAGTTTTGTTTGTGTGGGAAACTCTTTATCTCTCCTTCTATTCTGAATGACAGCCTTGCTGGATAATTACACCTTGGGTGTATATTTTTCCTCTTTAGCCCATTGAGTACATCATGCTACTCTCTTCTGGCCTGCCAGGTTTCTGTGGATAGGTCTGCTGGAAACCCTATTTTTACTCCTTGAATGTTAGGGATTTCTTTTCCCGTGCAGCTTTCAGAATTCTTTCCTTATCTCTATATTTTGCAAATTTTACTATGATATGTCTTGTTGTTGGCCTGCTTTTTTTGATTTTTCATGGGAGCTCTCTGTGCCTCCTGGATTTGTATATCTATTCCTTTCCCAGATTAGAGAACTTTTAGCTAGAGTTTGCTCAAATAAGCCTTTTGCTCCTTTTCCCTTTTCTTCTTCCAGGACTCTTACGATATGAATGCTACTATCCCATATGGAGTTATTGAGTTCCTTAAGTCTACATTTACAACCCAATAGTTTTCTTTCCCTCTTCTTTTCAGTTTCATTGTTTTCCATAATTTTATCTTCTACTTATTACTTCCTTATTTTTTCCACTGCTTCTTCCATCCTTGTGGTCATTACATCCAGTCAGTTTTGCATCTTGATTATAGCATTTTTTATTTTGGTATGACTAGTTTTTAGGTATTTTATCTCCATGGTAAGGGACCCCTGATGTCTTCTATGATTTTCTCTAGCCAGCTAGTATCCTTATGATTGTGTTTTAAATTTTGGTTTAGGCATATTACTTATATTTGTTGTGATTAGATCCCTTGCCATGACCTGTTTTTATTTTATTTTGGGATGAATTTCTCCATCTTGGCGTTTTTCTAGGTCTCTGTCTTCTGTGTGTTAGGAAGATCTATCATGTTTCCTGCTCTTGAGAGAAATGGCTATATTAAGAAGAGATCGTATACCGTCTAAGGCTTGGTGTTTCAGGATGTGTCTCTGGTATGTGCTGTGTATATTCTGCTGTTGTATTTTGGCTGCTCTTTCCCTCAGATCAGTCTTCTGAAGAATTTTGCTCTGTCTTGCCTTGTCAGTGGGTAGTCTTTGGACCTTGTCCACTGTTGGGCAAGTTTTAACTTGGTGTGTTTTGGTCAGTTAGATAAAAGAGGCTAGATCCTATTTCCCCTAGAGCTGAAGCTTTTTCGCACTCTATGGTCAGAAGATTTGGTGCATGTGGAGGGGTTGTGTAGTCTTTTGGGGGAGGGACCCACTCTTGCTCTGATTCTCAAGCACACTTGCCCTACTAAAAAAGCACCTGCAGAGCACAGAGGGTGAGATTCGGTGTATTTGGTTCAAGCCTCCACTCTAGGTGCTTGTTGTTCACTGCAGTCCATCTTTGCTGATGGGCAAGGGTAAAAATGGCTTCACCTGGCTCTCTCATTCCCAGAGAGTTTACCCCTGCTTCTATTCAGAAAGCCCTTATGGAAGAGCAAATAATCTTCCCTTGTGTGTTCCTGGAATCCCTCAGATCTCTGCCTTCACCCCATTTTTGCCCCAGCTGTCTGCCTTCCCAGCAGTGCAATGCTCCTCTGTTTTATCTCAGGGGCACTGGCTGGGTTTCAACTCTCCAATCTTAGGGACCCAGTGTGGTGAAGACCTAAGCTCATTTCTAGGGAGGGTTTCACTGTGCTGTGGCTGGAACTGATTTGTCCCAGAAAAGCAGGAAGTTTATGACAAAACACAGCAAAAAGCTATGTTCAGTTAGCTGCTCTCAGCAGGTGCTTCTGTTCCTATGCTAATGAACAGGACAGCTCAATGGTGCCTGTTCATTTTTGTCCCCTGAGAGGCACTTTTGTCCCCTGAGAGGCAATGCCACCTCTCCCAAATGTACTCCAAGAAGGGAAACTGTCTCTCCCACTGTGACCCAACCTTGGGGATCCTCAGATCATGCTGTGTGTTCCCAGACTTCTCCTTCTTCTCCACAGGAATACTACTATGTTCACCAGGCTTGACCTGGTGATTGCGTGGACTTCCAAAACTTCAGTCTTTGAGCTCTGCTGCTTGTAACTACTTGCAATGAACAGCCCCTCTCATTTTCCCTGTCAATGATTTTGAGGAAGTGTGTTTCTTGTATAGTGTTCTTTCTTTCTCTCTCTTTCTGTTTCTCTCTTCTTTCTGTGATCAGGGCTCCCACCCCTCCACAGTACCCACAGTTCTTTTCTCCTCCAAATCATGTCTCTGCACCTCCTTCCTTCCATGATGTGGCTTCTCCTCTCTCCAGTTGTGCAGTTTGTTCTCTCAGTCCTCAAATTTCTTGGGTGTTCAAAATGATTTGGTATTTATCTAGCTGTGTTCTAGGGATGAGGCAAGCATAGGGTCCCCCTGCTAGTCTGCCATCTTAACTCTTTCCTGCCTAAGGGTTGTTAACACATTTTGTTTTCTCTTTGGAAATTGCCCTTACTTCCTATAAACCAAAAATGCAATGGAAAACATGTCGTATGCAGGATCTAGTTATTTTGTTGTGGAAGGCCCTTCAGAGTGTCTAGCCTGCCACACTGCCAGAAGCAGGAGTCCCATTGCAAAGCTTTTACACAGTTTTCATAAGCCCCATTCAAAACCTGTGGATTCAGCATTTCTGCAGTTAGGCAGATAAATCTATATTTTAAAAACTAGTTCTGAAGTGATTATTATACTAAACCATAGTTAAGAGTTTCTACCCTATAACTTGTTCATATCCAGCTGGTGAGACATAATGAGAGGTCATAGCTGACACAGAGGACTTTCTGGGGCTCTGGCTTCTGGCTCAGTTCCTGGTAACACATACTTTTCCCTTCTCCCCTACATAGTCCCCAGTAGACTTCTTCCATTTATTGGTAACCTTAAGTTGGCCTTACAGGTGAACAGATACTTAACATTCTAGAATTAGAGTATTATCTACCTACCTACCTACCTACCTACCTACCTACCTACCTACCTAAATCCTGCTTGTCTTTTAAGGGCATTGCAAAAAAACCTATTATGGTTGAAAACTTTTCTGTTCCATCTCTGCCAAGTATAAAAATATGACGTCTCCTCTCTTGACACTTTTATAACTCTTGGAATCTCCCACATTATTTTCCCAACCAGATGCTCTTCAAGGGTAGGGACCATGTCTAGTTCATTATCACAGCCCATCATGTCCATAGTGATTGAAAGGGACACAGAGCCCAGTTGCTTAGGAAGGTTTTATTGGTGCATTAGGATAGATGGAGCAATGGACAGATGGAAGAGATAAAATAGCTCTGAAAACCCCCACAAGCTGAGGAGAATTTGGCACAAATGGGTGACTGACTCTGTATCTTCCTGTTCCTGAGGGGGTCTGTACAGCAGAGCAGATGAGAGAGGAATTTAGGATAGAAAGCACCTTGCAGAAATGGTCTCACTGAGAAAGACATAAGAGAGAAACACCATGATTAAGAGGTGATGTCCAGGGACATGCCACCTGGACTGGCCAGGGTAGGACAAGCCAACCCTCTGCAGCTGTCTTCTTCTGGTACTGGGCACTAGAGTCTGGGGCTGGGACACTCATGGCTTGTTGCTTTTGAAGTAGGAATACAGCCCCCTGGCTGTGAGGCCGCGCCTCCCTTCTGGCTGGGCTGTCTCCTGGCCCTGGGCTGAAGGCATGCTAGAATGTAGACTACCCTGGTCCTGCCTTGGGCTTGCTGGATCTCTTGTGTGGTCATCCACCCACTCTGGAGTAACCACTGTGGGTTCTCTCTCTGCCTGCCCACCTGTCACACTGCAGTTTGGGTGAGTGCTGCTCCAGTCCTGTCTCCCTGTCAGAGTGTTTGCCCCAGCCTGGGCCTGTCCCCCCAGCTCTGTCTCTCCTGCTTCATAGTGGCCCACTCGTGTCCATCTTGGACCACTGCCTGACTGCCTTTGGGTCTGTCCCTCATCTCTATCCCCTGTGCGGCTTGCAGACCTGCTCTTGTCCTGCTTTGTGGTCTGGGTGTGTGTCTGGGTTTGTGACCCTGCCTGTGTCTGCATGTGCCCTCCTGTTACCACTTGGCTTGTCTGGCCCCTGTCTTGACCCTGGACATCAGTCCCTCTGGTCTGGCCGTGGGTGGACTCCTGCAGCTGGGTACCAGGGCTTCCTATCTGACCACTCCTGTCCTGCTCCATGGTCTGGGTGACACTTCCTGGTGTCGGAACATGTTCTCTTGCCACCTGTCTTTTCTGGCTCCTATCTTGACCCTGGACATCAGTCCCTCTGGTCTGGCCGTGGGTGGACTCCTGCGGCTGGGTGCCAGGGCTTCCTATCTGACCACTCCTGTCCTGCTCCATGGTCGGGGTGACACCTCCTTGAGTCGGAACATGTTCTCCTGCCACCATCTGTCTTGTCTGGGTCCTATCTTGACCCTGAACATCAGTCCCTCTGGTCTGGCCATGGGTGGACTCCTGAGGCTGGGTGCCAGGCCTTCCTATTTGACCACTCCTGTCCTGCTCCACACTTTGGGTGGCATCTGTCTGGGTCTGAGTTCCAGTGCCAGTCACTGGTTCAGTTGTCTGGTGGGCTCTGTCTTGTTCCCTGGCCCGCGACTGTCTCTCTGACTCCCTCTCTCTGGTCTGGTGACTCTTGTCTTCTCTCACTCTCTGGGTCTGCTGTGCACATCCCCCAGCTTGTGTCTGCCAACTCTCTCTCTCTTGTCTCTGAGACTCAGACTGCCTATCCTGGCCAATATCCTGACCATGGGTTTGAGCCCCGAACCCCACCTGTCCTCTGGAGGCTTGTGTGCTCTGTCCATGTTGGGTCTCCTCACGATGCTGTTCTTCCCTAGCCATCCCCACCTCAGTTCTCCTGCTCTGTCTTTCCCCCAGCTCTTGTGAGTCCCCAGTAGGGTGGATTCCAGACTCTTGAGATCCACAAGCCCCTTCAGGACTCTCGCTCAGTGTCTTGAAACAGGCTTGGGCGACTTTAAACACCAGGACCAGGAATTCCTTGAACTCCACAGCCCCTGTGTCATCTTCATCCAGCAGACGCAGGACTTCATCTACGGTGGCAGGATCATGGGGTTTCTGGGGAGGAGAAGAGGCAAAGTCAGCATACCTCCCCTGGGGAAAGTGTGGTTGGGCCAGTGCACTCAGTCTGCAGTCTTCCCACCCCTGAGTCAGGGAGCCTACCTGTGCCAGGCTCAGGGTGCATACATAGCTACAGCAGCCCTAACATTAAATAGCTTTCAGTGTGCAGCCCTACTCACAAGAGTAGGAAGAACCTTTTGATTTATATCCTCTGTGTCTGGCATAGTTTCTGGCTTACAGGAGAACTGGAGCAAGACTCAATGAAGAATGAATGAATGATTGAGCTCTTAATGATTCTTTGGGCTGTCCTCTGCCCCTGACCCCTGGCACTGAGTGAGATTCTCTCCAACACCCAACACCAGGAGAAGCACAGAAGGAACATGGCCTCAAGGAGATTCTGTGAGATCTTCTTTGAAGCTCAGATGTTTTCCCAAGATGGGGTGGGTGGGGTCTGGTGGACCACAGGTTGGCCTGAGTATGCAATCTGCTGTGCCTACACAGCCCTGTCTCTAAGACCATTGTCCAGGTTGCATTAGATGGGAACCAAAGGCAGGGAGAGGCAGGGAAGTGCATCAAGGGCCTGGGTCTGCTTTGCTGGTAGGGGGAGAGAAGGAGGGGGCTCCCAGAGTGTCCTCCCAGCTGATGACACCCAACTTGCCCTCAGAAACACATGTCTGATGTGACCATTCAGTTAATATTTTTGCAACTGCAAGACACAGAGCTCTGCTGCTAATAAATGAATGGATGAATTTCTGATAGACATAAGGAATGGCTACTGCATCAGATTTAAGAAGCAGCAGAAAGCAGCAATTACTTGCATTTCTAGAATACCCAAAGGCTCTATTCTTCCCTGAGCTATCCCTTTTGGGTCCTTTCACCTTGTCTCCAATTAGAATTAATTGAAATCAAGGTATTTTCTCTAGGGAAACTACCATCTTTGTTCCTTTGCCTTCCTTTTCTCCTCCTCCACAGCTACCAGGAGGTCCACTGGGCTTGCCTCTTCAGTGGCTACCTCTTCAGACTCCTGAAGCAAAGCATCTGCAGGCAAGCCCCTTTCCTCTCTCCTCTCCCCACCTCCCCACCTGGCCGGGCACGTCATACCACAATGACATCAGCAAACTCATGCTCCAGGAGCTTTTTCAGCTCCCCCCGGGTGAGCACTGTGCAGTTGCCCTCGGTCCTGGCGTATCGCCCAAAGGCTTCGATGATCCCATTAATGTTTCGCAGTAACTGAGGCATCTTTGGATCCAAGCTGGAGAAAGAAGCAAAGCCCCCGTGGGGGCTCCAAAATCAACCTCAGCATTTCCTCCTGCCCCTTCCAGGTTTTTCCTCGCATATTCAGCTCTGCCTCTGTTGTCTCTGAGTCTTCCTCTCCCTTTCCTACGTAATGGACTTTATGAATGGGAAAGAGGGGTACATCATGGTTAGCGACAGGCTCCAGAGTCAGGACTTCTATGCCAGCCTCACCACCTACCTGTCAGGTGAGCTAGGGCAGTTTGCTCTGCCTTTCTATACCTTGGTTTACTCATTGTGAAATGAAGGTAATAACAGTATTTACTTGATAGGATTACTGTGAAGATTAAAAGAGATAATTCATATAAAGCACTTGGCAAATGCTGGCTTATACTAAGTGGCAGGTATTAAATATCATTATGATGTTATTATATACATACATAATGTGTGTATATCTGTGTACACCACTGCTCACAGCGTACTTCCATATGCATCATCTCTTATAATCCTTATTATCGCCACTTTTTTTTTTATAGGTGAGGAAACAGGCTCAGAGAAGTGAGGTGATTTGTTGCTCAAGGTCCCATAGCTTGTAGGGGACTAAGAAACACGAGAGTCCATATCTCCTGAACTCAAATGCAATGAGCATTCTAGACTGTACCCTATGGACAGTCTATCTAGTCAATGATTGCCTGTCATATGGTATCAGGGGATACCAACAGGCAGTAAGTATGTATCTAGGTCTACCCCTGCCTCGGGTGGGTTAAGCAGGAACCCCAGGGGGGCTCCACCCTTTCTTGCTGCTTTTTGGGTAGACATTCAGGAAGAGGCTGGGTTACCAGTTGTTGGCCATGCTCAGGGCACCTCCCATTTCCAAGTTCTAAGTTCCTCTGAATGTGACCTCTGTCCTCAGCGCTGGGACCTGTGAACTGTGAAGGAGGTCAGCCTGCCCACAGATGTGTGGCTCCTGCCAGCCCACAATACTGGTGGCCTGTGAAGAATGATTCCCAACTGAAGGGAGAAAATTTCCTTGTCATTAGCCAGGGATCTGGGCATAGCTTGAAGTGAGTCCAGGGTGAGGCTGGATGGGCAAAAGACAAAGGGACGTGGAGGTGCATTAAAGTAGAAGCTTCAAAGACCAGGAGAAGGCACATTCAAATCCAGGGGGAGGAGGAAGTCCTGGGTACAAAAGTAGGAGAGTGAAGGGAGGCAGGAAGGAGGAAGACTTGGTGCTGAGGAAGATGGGGTAGTGTGGCCAGAAGGATTCGGAAAGTTATAGACCCTAGGTAAGCATCTAAAGCTCTAAGCTTTAAAAAAGGTATCCTTTCTACCGTCCAGTAGCCAAAAATTTCAGGCAGACTTTGCTTTTGTATATTAAGGTACCAAACTCAAATACTGTACCTCAACAGAGAAAGGAAAAGATCCTGGGTTTTGTTTTTTGGCACATCACAGACCTTAATCACTGACCTACAGACAGTAAAGATAAGGCTACTTTTTAGTTACACTTCAGATGCTTTAGGATAAATCTACAAACTCATCTTGCCTAATAAGGCCCTGGGAAGACTGTCATGTCAGCCCCTTCCTCTGTGACAAGGTTCAAGCTCATTGTCGGGTTGGCAAGAGTAACCTGAGTCTGGCCTGACACACTGCGAGTGCTGCAAAGAGGCTTCCAGAAACTTTGCTGTCCAGAAAGGCATATGGGTGGTTCAATTGCTGCTGCTAACATGCTCCGGTGAGAGGAGCTACTGCCAGGCCAGCCTCAGGGGAAGAGGAAAGAGCCACATGGCTTCAGGACAACATCTTCTCCCACGTGCACACGCCCACTTTGCCTGAAGACCAGTCAAAGCAGACACTTTCTGTCCATGGCTGGCAACCACAGGCCATGGCCCACATCTGACAGCTTGCTTTTATGAGCTCAGATCACCAAGACACTGAGAATGAGAAAGAGGTTCCTCAGGAGGGCACTTACCTAATGCACAGGCAGGATGAGCAAGTGGCTGTTAGGTGGTGAATGGAGTACCAGGTCAGCGGGACAGGAACCTTTTATAGGGGATTTAATAAGGCTGGTGTTTTAGATAGATGTCCCCGCCCCATGGGAAGGCTTGATTCATTCAAGGCTCTGCCCAGCCCAATCCCACTTCCCTTCTTGTCTGTTTCACCTGCTGACACATGGCTGTGTTGGCCGAATGAGCACTCCCTCTTACTATACTGGGTGCCTCCCTGATTCCTTCCCTGGGTCTGTCTCCTCATGTCAGGGAAGCTCCTTTCTGATGTGATGGGGTCAGCAGTGCTCAGCACAGGTCAAGGCTCCTGGTGAACATTCATCATCTTTATGTGACTGCATGACTTTGCAATATAAACATTTAAAAACATTTCCATCTATTGAGGGTTATCCTTTCCAAAGTGGTCACCTTGGGAGACTACACATGTTTTTCTGGTGATGTTGCCATTACTTAAAACATTCTTGGAATTCTTGTTTTGGGATTGCCTTTCATGCCAAGTTTATGAGACATGCAACAAATTCAATCTCATTTATTTCTGGTTTGGTCTCATTTTTTATTAAAACAAGAATGTTAATAGCTTCCTCCAGCCCCCATCCTCTGGGTAGGCAGGGTTTTACAGCTGGTGGGAAGACGTTTGAGATAATTAAGTGCAGCCCCTTCATTGCAAAGTCAAGGAACTCCACTGCTTGATCAATCAGCAAATATTTATGGAGAGCCTGCTCCACTTCAGACCCAGGACTAAGGACTGAGAGAAACGGTGTGGAACAGGCTGCCAGCAGTTTCTACTCTCACTGATTTTGCAGGCTGGCAGTACTAGGACAAAGTCCTGAGAGAGTAACAGTACTGACAATTACTGTTTGATTTGCTTTGGTTTGAGTCCATTTTCATTACCACCTCATTTTGTTGTATCCTCACAACTAAGCCTGCTTTATAAATCAAGACTCTGAGAGCCCTTGGAGAAGTGGCCACTCTGAAGAAGGGATGGGTATTGTGGAGCCCTCAATTTCTGGCCACATTCCCCTCTATACAACACGCAGCTACTTCTTCGTCTCCCCATGGACCTTTGGCACTTTACAAACATCAACTTTGTGGATAAAGAATAACCATGCTGAGAAGGAAGCATTCTGAGCTCTGAAGCCAAGTCCCAAAGAGGCTGCTAGCACATATTTTTATAGAAGGTACATGTAGCTTCTTTTTTTTTTAATTTTTATTTATTTCTAGGAGAGAGAGAGAGAGAGACAGCGTGAGCAGGGGAGGGTCAGAGAGAGAGGGAGACACAGATTCTGAAATAGGCTCCAGGCTCTGAGCTGGCAGTCAGCACAGAGCCCAACGCGGGGCTCGAGCCCACGAACCGCGAGATCATGACCTAAGCGAAAGTCCAACGCTTAACCGACTAAGCCACCCAGGCGCCCCTAGAAGGTACATGTAGCTTCTGGAATGATTCTTTGGATGGGGAAAAGCATCTTCACAGTCTTCACTTATTTGTCTGCATGCAGCCCACAGGAAAGGTCATGATGGGATGGGAAGGTGCAGTGAGACTGGCAGAGGGAGGGCGGGTCTGCAGCCACGACACAAGCCCAGTAAGGGGCACAGAGCACAGGGTGAGATGCAGCCTGCAGAGGGGCCATCTACATGGAGAGGAGCTGGCTTCAGTCCCTGGCAGAAGAGGGGCAGAAGTTGCTGTGGTAACTGGACAGTTCAGAGAAGAGCAGCATGAGAAGGGGAGGATGGAGAACAAGAGGGGCTCCTGCAGAGTAGACTTTCCTTCTGTGAGATTTGCTAAGTCTTTTCTGAAGGCAATCAGAACTTCCAGACAGGCTTGGGAAGTCAGGGAAAGTAAGTTTGGGAAGTAACAAGCTAAGTGCTTGATCTATGAGGTAACTCTGAGGTAGGTATCATTATATCCAATTTATGGATGAAGAAACTGAGGTACAGAGAGGTTAAATATACTACCCAAGGTCACATACCTAGAAAGCGATAGAGTTAGATTTGAACTTAGGTTTGCCTGCCTCCAAAGCCTGCGTCTTTTCAAGGGGCAGGACTGAGCCCGGGGAGTTGTCGGCAGTGAAGGTGGGGGGAGAGTGGCTGGCGGGGGTGGGAGTGGGGGGCAGGAGGGCACCAGGGATGGGACTGGCAGTCTCAGAGGATGTCAAATTGTTAATGTGTGACATCTACAAAGAGTGTTACAAATGAGTGACTTTCCTTAGGAGTCACATCCCTTGGGTCTGGAGGCAGAACGAGCCCAGGGACCCTGTCTGAAGTTGAATCAAATTCTTCCTTTATGTTTATTTTGCCTTGGGATAAACAGAAATATCTCGACAAAACAAACTCATTGTTGCACTTCAATTCCTTTTTACACACTCACTCAGAAATTTGTTGTTGATAAAGATCATTTATTTCTGCAAATATTTAACAGCCCTTCTTTGCTACACTTAGTAGGTTACAAATGAAGAGTTAAAATTCTGCTTTCCTGGGAATCAGTCTAGTTGGGAAGACAGGCCACGAACACCCTGAATTATTTAATAATGGAAGACAAGGTGTTGTAAGACGTAAATCTGTAAAAGCAGATACTTTCACTTGTACCCTGGAGCAGAGAATGGGGACATGAGCAAGGACTTGGCAGTGGGGAATGACTGGAAGGTGGCCATTTGAATCTCCCCCAAAAAGCAGAAGGTGGAAAAATTCCATAATCTTGGGCTTCAGCCTCAGAAAGAAACAGAGACAGGTCTGAAAGCCAGACAGCTGTTGCCTGGAGGGTTGTGTGTGGTGAGAGAAGTCACCTGTCCATGCACAGCCTGCACAGCCTGACTGAGGGGCAGGCTGAGGGCATGGTTCTCAGAGGGCAAAAAGAACAGTAGACAGTTCTGGGCCTCTTTATCTTTTCTTTGCCCCAATTGTAGCCTCTTCTCCGAAGCCCACCTGACCTGGGTCCTGGCTAGAGCATCCCGGAAACCCAGATGCCAAAGTTCAACCCCGCATATGCCAGGGAGGGTTAGGCAGGCA